CTAAGGATGACTCGTGCTCCTTATTCGTTTTTACTGCACATACCCTGGGGGGACAGGAAATTCATTCTGCTGCATGGCTCAGCGTGACTCACAAATTGCAGGCTAGCATTTTGAAATGTCATTTTTATTGATCTCCATTTGATGTTTCATTTGCCTTTCTTGGAGTACACAAATTATGTTTATGGCATTTCTCTAATAGCAGACCTTGAAAATCTAAGTTTAAATGAGCTCTGAAAAAAACATAACCAAATGAAATATCAGCTAAACAAAATTATCTGGATGCACATAAATTAACACTGATTTTAGCATTCACATTTATCTTCCCTAAGACTCCACAGGTCACAATAAGGGTGAAAACATCTACATAATAGAAGAGTTAACACATTTCAGAGCATAACAGCCAGCTAAAAACTGTAAGGAAAAGCAAAGCCCAAGTACAGAATGTAAATCTGCCAACCAAACACTTATGACCATAAAGCATGGTTCAAAGAGCGAGATTAGAAAAACGAGTATCCACACCCGTTCTGTAAACTGGGAATCCGTGCAGGGCTGCGAATCCCATGAAAAGACTGGGGACAAAGCTTCATTTCTCTTGCTTTACTTCATTCCTTTCTGACAATTTCAAAAATACATCAGTCAATGAAAAGCAAGAGTTACTCCACAATGAGTGCAATTTGCTTTGCAGAATAGGTATGAAGTTTAAATGCAGTTTAATATTTCAAATACAGTAATACTTTAACACAGCTAACTTTTTTAATACAGCTAACTTATAAATGAGCTGTATAAAATTAAACTGCCCACAATTTAGGAAGCAATTATGATCTCGAGTAAGAGTACATCATCCTTAGATGGATTTATTTTTTTGCTGTTTCTGTGAGACAGGGTCTTGCTATGTCATTCAGGTTGGACTTCGACTTACTATGTAGCCCAGGCTGGCCTTGAACTCACAGCAATCCTCTTGCCTCAGCCTCCTGAGTGCTGGGATTACAGGCCCGTGCCACCATGCCCATCCTGACATGGATTCATACAGAAGAAGAATTCAGTCTCAGGTTGAAGAAGACATACTAAGAGAACCGGTAATTTACTAAGCCTTTGGCTTTAAAAAGACAACATTTCAATAGGTCTTATCTTAAAGCACTATAAACTTTGACAGGAATGACTGATTTCAAACTTTTGCTTTCTACAACGCGTATAAGAAAGCACAGGAACATCCAGTAGAAAGTGATGCAATGACATCCCCACTACTGCATTTCAGAAAGTGTCAACTTTTGCCCATCTTCTCAAACCTGGCTGAGAGCACCAAGTCCTTGAACTGTAGCTATGGCTACTGCCTCATTGGCACCAGGCACCTCACTCCGAGAGCCTTAGGTCTCCTCCAAGGCCTGCGGGTGTGAACAGCCCTCACCCTGCAGGACCTTCCCACACCTCACCTCCCTTCCCAGGCCTCAACACACGCCTGTGAGTGAACCCGTAATGGGCGGCAGGTCAGAGGCTGGGTGCTGACTGCAAAACCTGAGGCTACGGGGCACGAATGGTTTATGATGTTGGAAATAATTTTATTAAGACTTTCTCTCAAGGATCCGCACGAGACAAAGTTATGGTGCCCAAGAAATGAGCTTTTGGAAATCCTTTATGCCTTCCTATTCCAGCCAGTGTTTTGTTTTAATGACTCTGAAATGAGCATTTCAAAAAGTCGTTATCATGGGGGTAGGGATGGAGTTCAGTGCAGAGCACTTGCCTAGCATATGCAAAACCTGGGTTTGACTCCCAGCAAGAAAAAGGGGGGGGGGGGCAGGGATTTAGCTCAGTGGTCCCAAGTTCAATCCCCAGTACCAAAAAGAAAAAAGAAAAAAACAACTTTATTATCAAAAACCCATTTCTGAGCCAGGGACTTAGCTCAGTGGTTTCGCTGCCTGCTGCACAAGTGCAAGGAACCGAGTTTGATCCCCAGTACCAAAAAAAAAAATCCATTTCTGGGAGCAGAGGACAAGAACAGTGGTTCAGGGGCAGCCTGAAATTTTATTATATAGAGAAAGAAGGTGACCTGGATTTTTAATTGAATCACTGATATCCTTATGAAGTACTAACTAGAAAAACAATGCTTATCAGATTTAAAATAGGGAAAAGTACAAAACTCCATACATATTACAACTACAACCTTGTAAAAAAAAATAAAAACCTTGGCATAGAGGAAAAACCAGCAAGAAATACTACAAATGTGGTGGGTTCAAGGGAGAAACCACAGGCAAGGTTTTTCTACTGCCTGCACATCCAGTATTCTATTTCCTCTCATGAGAATCCATCATGATCTTTCTGTGTTTCACTTCTTACCTTTTATCCCTTCCTGTCACCCTACTTTAAATTGTTATGTGTCATTTACTAACTGCTGGCTCCTTTTAGGTTTCAAAATGACTCTTCAGAGGCAGAGACACAAATGTGGGATTGTGGCTCAGTCACTCGCAGCATGAGTGTGAAGTCACCTAACTTCTGCAAGCCTCCACTTTCTCATCTAAGCAAAACACCTTGGTGGGATTAAATGGCGGAAAACACCTAGCACAGCGGTGACCTCGCCATCCTGCTCAATTCACTTGCAATGAAGTTCTGTTAAGAAAAGCCTCCTCCTCCTCAGAGGGCTTTAAAACGCAAGAAGCTCAGGAAAGATTTAAACAGATCCAGGGACCCTTTTGCTCTTAGGCAGAATGAAGTCTCACAATCCTCAACACAGCAGCCCAAATAACAGAAGGAACTGTCAATGAACTGAAAACCTATTTAGCCAGGCACACCTGCAACCCCAGCACTCTGGAAGGCCAAGGCAGGAGGATTTAAAGATTGCACTCAGCCTCAACAACTTATCAACTTAGCGATGGGAAGTTCAGTGCAAAGGCTCTGGGCTCAACAACAGTACTACCGAAAAAAAAAAAAGAAAAAGAAAATCTCCTTGTCATCAGCAAACCTGACCGAGACTTCTCAAAGAGCCTCTTCCAGGACACAGAGAACCATGCCTATGTCACAAGGGGGGCACGGCCCTCCCAGGCTTGTGACTCCAAGTCACCTAATAAGACACTTCAAAAATGCAGATTTTAATACAGAGATGCTTACAACTTTAAAAAATGTTTTGGTTTTGTATTTCTAGAAGGAAACATTACAAAAATGTTCCTGACACTGGATTAGGCAATGTGTTCTTAGCTAAGATACCAAAAGTGCAAGAAATAAAAAAAAACACTGATAAATTAGACTACATTAAAATTAAAAGTCTCACCACGCCTGCCTCACAAATGCAGAGTCCGGAGTTTGATCCCTGGTACCCCCAAAAAAGTCTCATGCGCATCAAGAAAGTAAGAAAGTAAAAAGACAACCTACAAAATGAGAGAAAATACATACAAATCACAAATCTGATTAAGCATATAAAATCCAGAACCCATAAAGGACTCCTGTGACTCAACCAAAAGGGACACAACCCAGTTAAAAGTAAACACATGGTTCGAAAATATTCCTCCAAAGAAGATATACAGATGGCCAAAGCACACGTGAAAAGATAATCAGCATCTTAATAATTTGGGAATAACAACAAAAAAAAATCAAAACCTCAGTTTGATGACAGCCTAGACTACATAGTGAAACCCTGTCTCAAAAAAACTGCAACACACCACGTCATAACTACCAGGATGGCTGTAGAAACAATAAAAGAGTCAGTGCTGCTGAGGCTCTGGTGAAGCGCTTGTACACTGGTGACAGGATATTAAATGGTGCGGCCGCTGTGGGAAAGTTTGGCGACTCCTTAAAAAACTGAACAGCTGGAAATGGTGGCGCACGCCTGTAATTCCAGCACCTGGGAGGCAGACGCAGGAGAGGATTGCTGTGAGTTCCAAGCCAGCCTGGGCTACATAGTGAGTTCAAGGCCAGCCTGAACTACATAGCAAGACCTTGTGTCAAAAAACCGAAAAAAACAAAACAAAACAAAACAAAAAAACCTCTGAACATAGAATGTAATTACTATGTATCACAAACATACTAACAAAATTTTTAAAAATTAAAAAGGAAAACACTAGAGTTACTATATGACCAAGCAATTAAGTGTCTACCTATAAGAACTGAACACCGACTCCAACAGCTATTTGTACGCTAATCTTGTAAGCTAATTTTCATTGTAGCATTACAATATGCTAATCTTCATTGTAGCACACAACAGTCAAAGGTGAAAACAACCCAAGTGTCTACCAACAGATGAAGGGATAAAAAACTGTGAAACATGGGGCTGGGGATTTAGCTCAGTGGTTCCGCCGCCTGCCCCGAAAGCGCAAGGTCCTGAGTTCAACACTCGGTACCAAAAAAAAAAAACTTCGAAACACCCAGGCATGCATGGTGGTACACACCTATAATCCCAGCATTCAGGAGGCTGAACCAGGAGGGCTGCTGGGAGTTCAAGGCCAGCCTGAGGTACACAGTGGGAGCCTGTCTCAAAAACAAATAAACAAAAAAACCAACTGTGGTCTATACATACAATGCTATAAAAAGAAAAAAGTCTGTCACATGCTACAGCATGAGTGCACCTTGAAAATATGCTAAATGAAAGAAGCCAGACAAAAAAAGCACAAACACAGTGTAATTCGTCTTATGTGAGGTACCTGGAATAGTCAAATTCACAACAACAAAAAGTTCATATAAAGGTTACCTGGGTTTGGGGGAGATAAAATGAGGAGTTACTGTTTAAGGGTGGCAGAGTCATTGCTTGAAGTGATGAAAAACTTCAGGAAATAGTGGTGATGGTTGCCCAATGTTGTAAAAATAATGTCACTGAATTATACACTTTAAAAGGATTAAAACGGCAAGGTTTATGTTATATATGTATTTTTCCACAATAAAAATAAATAAGCAAATAAAAGTAAATTTATTGGATTGAAAAAAAGCAAAGATTACAGCTAAAATAATAAAGGAACAGAAAAAAAAATTAAAGAAACATTACAGCTAAAATCATCAGGGAAACAACAGCACATCAGTACCTTTGCACACACTGCATTCGGGAGAGGGGAGGACGACATCTTTGGTTATGAGCTTCCCGGGCGGTGAGTCTCGCTCCCGACAGCTGAAAGAGTACAAAACCCATTTAACAAACTATCACACTTACTACTGATCTAGAAAAACTGTTATCACATCTGATAGCAAAGAGCAAGAAATTCAAGCAGTTTAATATCAAAAACAGGCATTTGTGGGGGGGCCGGAAACTGGGCAGATTGCATAGCAGTTGGAAGCAACACACATCTCAAAGCACTGAGAGCTACAGTAACTCCTACATGGTGATTTTAACAGGCTTGGAGAAGAATGCTAAAGAGGCTGCTTTCCCTTAAACCTAACAAAGCTGAAAATTCTCAAATCAAAGCTTTCAAAAACTTTAACTGGAACTTGATCCAAAGGGAGACCAAGTTCATAACTATACTTTTATGTGCCTTCATTGGTCATGTGCAAGGATGTTCAGTGCAAGTGTATGAAACAGAGTTTTCCTGACATATCCTGGAATTATGGTCACCTAAATCAATCGCAGGTGGCGAAACTATGGCACGCCTGCTGCAGTGGACTGTCTGTTATTATTGAAATCTCTAAGAGGTTCACCATCACTGACTGAGACGTTTCTGGGAGAAATCTATACACTATTTGCAAATGGAACACTGCCAACTCACAAATGGAACGTTTGTATCCCCCCCGCCCCAAAATTCCTATTTAAAGTCTAACCCCCAGTGATGGTAAAGGTAGAGCTTCCCTAATCCAAAGATCTGAATTTTCATTAGGGATGCTCAACCAGTGAAGTCTACACAAATATTCCATAACCTGGGACACTAGACCTCAATTTAGAGTAGGACTTTTGAGAAGTAATTAGGTCATTCAGATCATGAGGGTAGCGCCCTCATGAATGAATTAGTACCCCTGGCTTGGGTGGGTTCCATTTTTGACTCCCTTTACCCTTTCCTTCCTATCTCCCTCCTGGCTGCCTGTCCTGATCATGAACACAGTAAGAAGACCGACACCTGCAGAGCAGGAAGAGGTCCTCACCAGGCACTGGACCTGCCAGGGCTTCTTACTTTAGACTTTTTAGTCTGTAGAACTGTGAGCCTGGTTTATGTCACCTAGTCTTCAGTACTCCTGGTATAGAAGCCTAAGCTAAGAGAGAGAACCCAGGCCACCCAATATTAATACATCACTCTTAAGAACAGAGTAAGATATCAATAATCAGATTAAGTTTGGCATTGAGTATTAACTCTAGTCTCCTAAACTAAAAAACATGGTATCTTCATCTCTCTTAAGAGATTTATCTCATATAATGTTCAAACTGCATGTTTTTATTAGCTTAAACATTCTTGATGAAACTGATATACATTGAAAAGTATCCAAAAAGTTGTCATACCTTTTCATCTTCCCACTGAAAAAAATTACAGTCTTTTCTATCTCTACAGGCTGAGCAGGCATAAAACCTTCGTGTTTCTTCCTTCCCTTGGCTCATCTTTACAAACAGAAGAGTAGGTCCTAGTTCCACAATAGAAAAAAAATGACCATAGTAATCTGCATCAAGTTCTTAGCTTTCATTACCTTAATAAAACTTGTTTAGGCTTTATGCACAACTTATAACAATAATTTTTTTTTCTCAGTCACAACATTCGGGTACTAACTACTGAGAAATAATTTAAGAAAATTGGTCTCCCCAGAAAGAAAACGCTATGGGCAGTATAGTTGTCCACAATGAATGTCACAAATCTGGGTCCACCAACTCCTCACGATGAATGTAATCAGTACGTACTGCAAACATATACAGTACTAATAAAACTTTTTAAAAGAAACCTGAAAACAAAAGAACCTCAGAGAATTGATAGTTCTGCCATCTCCATCTCCAGTGCAGTTATTTTTTCAGTGAAAACCTGAACTTTTAAGAGTTGGACACATCCTCTCTCTACAAGTTAAAGAAAAACTGGGTCTACATTGCAGGCAAAATTTCTATCATTCTACTTAGACAAAAAATAAAGAAAGAAAGAAAGATAGATAGATAGATAGCAAATCAACAAATGAAACCCCAACTACCTGTCAACCGGCATTTTTCAACACCATATATCCCCTTTCCCTACCCTCTGACCCTTTCTTCAAATCAGAGATATAATAGCCCTGCCGGCAAAACTCCGAGAGTAGGGACTTCTCGGAAGGCTTCTCAGATCAGGTGAAAAAACAACATCCCCAAAAAGCGGTGCTTTTTTATGAATCACACATGGTGAGGGGAAAGCATAGACAAACCTCTTCCGGAGAAAAATCCTAAAAGCCCACAACCCACGGCCCTGGCGCCTGCCAGACAGGCTGAGTCCAGACGCCCACCTACCATGAGGGCAAAGCGGGGCGGGTGAGGCAGGATCCGAAAGGAGCACCATCTCCACTCCCGAGGTTCCCTGGCTCCCAGCGCCAGGCTCTGCCTCCACGGACTCCCGCCCGTACCTGGGGGCCGCCATCTTTCCGCCGCCGTCCCAAAAGCCTCAGTCCGAACCAAGGAGACGGAGGAAGAGCGCCGCCGCGAGCAGCAGGGACCCACAGCGCCCCTGCGCGGCTGGGAGGAGACCAGGGCCGCCGCGGTGGAAGCCTTGCCCCAAATGCAGTCTGTGGTTCAGGGGCCTGGCCCTTAAGTGACCCCTACTTGTGGGACTCTAGGTTCGACCTGTACCAAGAGATCCCTCATACCTGCCTTACCTTAAGCACCTCTAAACACTCTTTTTTCAAAAGAATATAGCCTGCTGATGAGATGAATCTTTGGAAGGTGAGAGGTCCAAACCAACAAGCTGACAAATAGCTGAATAATTGAAATAGCTAAAATGGTTGCAACAGCTGCATGTGATGGAGCCCTCTGTTTTTACAGAGCCATAGTTTACAGTGCCCAGTTTGCAACTCTTGGACAACGTCTGTAATTATAAATTACAATTGCATACCTGTGGACATTTGTACATCAGAAGGGAAGAAAAATGTCGCTATTTACCAATGATATAATTGTCTACAGTACTTGGAAAATGCCAAAGAATGTACAGTTCTCACAACTTCCAGCTTGAACTGAATTTGGCAAGGTTGCAGGATAGGGGCTAAACATACAAAAATCAATGTATTTCTACATGCTAGCAGCAATCACATGGACAATAAAATTTAAAAGTTACAACTGATTGAATAAATGAAATATGTATAAATCTAACATAAGATTTACTGGCCATATTATCATCATTATTTGCAAGAAAACATAGTAAAGATGCGATTTAGTGCAATTTCTATCTGATACTCAGCCAGCTATACATAATATAGCCATTATGAACATTATATGAACATTATATTCTGAACATTATATGAAAAGGTGGGAGAATAGCTAAAATAATTTTTTAAAAGAATAATAAAATGAGAGGAACCAATCTGTCCCATTTCAGGACTCACACTTACAGTAATCAGGTCAATCATAATACTATGACTGCCTTGGTGTTCTGAATGGATTCAAAAACGTTTCCCTTTCACAGTCATTTTTTAAAAAAATTTTTTTGGGGGGGGGCGGTACCGGGGCTTGAACTCGGGTCCTGGCGCTTGTGCAGGTTTCACAGTCATTTTGTCTTTGGGGAACAACCAGAGGTCGCCTGGTGTCAGATCCAGTGACTAAGGTGGATAAAGACTCAGCGTCCTGTTTTTAGAGACCTGCCTTTCTGCTACATGGCATTTGGCAGCAGCATTTACTGAATTTTTCATCACACTTCTTAAACATACTCACCAAAGAGGACTTCTCCAACTGCTTCAGAAAGTAGCAAGAACGATGAGATAAGTGTGTTTGAAGGGAGAGGGCAGATTTTGAAGGGATTAATGACAATATGTCTTTTACTGTAATACATTTTTTAAATTCAGGCATTCACCATAGTTTTCAATCACCCTTGTATACACAGCTGCATGCACTTGTATGGTTATGGATGAACTATTCAAATTCTCCTTACAGTACTTAAAAATTGATGATGCACATTCAAATTTATTTATATATTTTTGGTTTTTTGAGACAAGTTCTTGCTAGGTAGTTCAGAGGGGGCTGGAAATCTCTGCATAGCTCAGGCTGGCCTCAAAGTCAAACTCGCTGCAATCCTACTTCAGCCTCTTGAGACCTGGGATTACAGGGGAGGGAGCACCACCACGCCCAGCAATGCATACAGAAGTAACTCAATCCCTTACTAAAATGGCTAACCAAGAACTATGGCTCTCTTCCATTCACTCAAGCAACAGTTGCACTCCTATTCAGCACTCAAGCTGTGGCAGCTGTGTCTTTGATGAAATGCGCACATTTCCACGTGGTCCAGCACGACTTTTCAGAGAACATTATCTACCCTCCTACATCATTTGAGCTGGGGAGTGTTCTGGACCCACACATGTGATATTTTTGGGAATTTGATTTCAAGACATATATTAACATTTATTATTAAATAATATCCACTCATATTAACATTTATTTTTAAATTTCTTAAAAAATTGTCTTGCCCTTGCTCATTTGTCATCTGTAAAAGACTTGTTTATAAAATTTGCCACTGAATCCATGAGAACACACCACCAGACAGTTACAGAATCTAGCTTTCCTTTTTCTCTTTTGAGTATTGCTGACTCTGTCAGTGACCTCTGTAAGGGGCAGAAATCAGCGCGGCCCTGGAGGCTGGACAAGTAAACTTTGGCGACCGAAAGTATGACAGGGCTGGGGAGTCAGTGGTGGAGCACTAGTCCAACCCCTGCATGGCCCTGAGTTCAATACCTAGCAGGAAACACAAACAGAACAAAGATGGATGAAGTAAACAAGAGGGCACCTCCTAATGAGAAAGAGAGTGAGGGTTTCAAAAATAAATCATAGCCAGGCAAGGTGGCGCAGGCCTGTAATCCCAGCATTCAGGAGGTTGAGGCAGGAGGATTACTGTGAGTTTAAGGGCAGCCCGGGCTACACAGTGAGTGCAAGATCAACCTGAACTACACAGGGAGACCCTGTCTCACCCCCTGAGGGATAATTTTGGGGAGAAAAATTCTCATATTATTTATGTATTTAATTTTTCTTTTTTGAGATTAAAGTCTCACTATGTTGGCCTTGAAATTGCAATCTCCCTGCCTCAGCCTCCCGAGTGCTGGATTTACAGATGTGCACCACCACGCCCAGCAGTAACTGAAAAACTTCAGCCCCCAACCTCCTTCAGAGAACCCGGCTGAAGCCAGAGGAGCCCTTGTAGTGGCTTCCTGACCATCTTCTCTGGCTTCTGCGACCAGGACCCCAGTTTCCCTTGGGGAATCCGATCCACCCCCATTTCTGCCCGTGTCGTTTGAGAGAGACCGGGAAGGGCAGGGACTGCTGGGGTCCGGGAAGGGATGTGGCGCTCCTCCCTGCACGGCAGAGACAGACGCTGTCACGGACGGGTGACCTCCCGTAAGGCGCTGCTCCGCCTGTCACGGCGGCGGAGGGACACTTCAGGGTCTCCCAGGGCAGAGCTGGGTGCGGACGGACTGCTAAACCCACGTGTCCCCCGCACTTTTACCGCCTGGATGACGAACCCATTGGTAATCACTTGAGCCTAGAATCTGACTTTACCGGTGCTGACAGGCGAAAGCCCAGCTGAGGGGAGTGCAGGTTAGGCTGGGCTGGGTCTGTGGTCATAGTGAGGCCCGGACTGGAGGGCAGCAGGGGCCTGGGCAGCTCCTTTCCTGGTGACAGCAGAGCCCCCAAGAAGCAAGCCCCACCGCACAGCCATCCAGCCCTCAGGCACATCCTCATTCCAGTCGCAGGCTGTTACTCACGCCCAGGGCAGGAGGCAGCCGAGAGGGGAGAGAATTTTGGTTTTTTGTTTGTTTCTTGAGACAGAGTCTCATTACATAGTTCAGACTGGCCTTACACTCACAGTGTACCTCAGGTTGGCCTCAAACTCGTGGCGATCCTCCTGCCTCAGCCTCCTGAGTGCTGGGATTACCCACATGGCCATCATGCCTGGCCAGAGTGAATATTTTTGAGCAAAAATCTAAACCATCTCAGTAATTCCACCTAAATACTGTATCCCAATGCAGCTCTGACTTTAAAATGTTGTATATAAAGAAAAATTTCAGTTTTGCCTTACTTACCTTAAATCCATTAAAGTCCATTATAACATAATATAAAGCTCATTATAATGAAGTCCAGGCCTCTGAAACTAACTTCATTTGATTTAACCAGGTGTGGTCACGTCTGAGGATTTACATAGGAGATATGTATACCTTTTAAGGAACGGTCCCTTTATTTGCAACATGTTTATTTTATCTGAAATTGGTTGTTTACATAGATTATATTAACTACGAATTTCACTTCAAGGGAGCCAAGGAAGTTTGAAAAGTACTTTTAATGAAGAAGGCCTTGAGTCGGTCAGGTCACCCTGTGTCACCCTGTGTGGGGGTCAGAGGAAGTGGGTTGGAATGGAGCCCCTCATCTGCACCTACTGTCTTCTGAGCAAACACGGTGACCTCAGGAAGGAGTCCGAGGCTGCTGAGCCTCTGTCAGGGACACTGTGGGGTAAGAACAGGAATCTCTTCTGGGTTGCTCTGGGAGTTAAATGACTCCGCGTGTGACATTCAGGATCCTGGCAGGGGTCAGATGATGCTCAGGTGGGATGTCGAGGGGCCTCTCATAGAGGGGCTGTTTGCCAGGCTGTGGGTAAACTGAGGGAACCCACACACAGACCAGGAATGCGCGTGAAGTGGTAACAGCAGATGGCGCTGCGACCCTTGAGCCATTTTAATTAATGTGAAGACCCATCCGTGAGGTTTACCTAGTAGTCAGGCAAGTCAGGCCAGGCCCGGAAGTCGAGGCGAATGGTTATCACGGGAGTGCACCACCATATCCGGCCTCTTCTGCTTTGCAACTTGTCATTGGGGTAATTTGAATCTATGTTCTTGGGCTATAGTCACTCATAGTTGGCTCTGAATAAACAAGTATTTTCTTATTTCTTTATCTCGTCTCGTTTTGTTTTTGTAAGACAGCACTTTGCTATGTAGCCAGGCTGGCCTGGAACTCCCTGTGTAGCCCACACTGGCCTGGAACTTGCAATCCTGCCTCAGTGCTGAGGTTATAGGTGTGTCCCACCACACCCCGGTATTTTCTTTAAAGTAGAGTTGTTATTTTATGTCAACAATCGTTAGAATTACCATTGAGATCCCCATATACCCAAAGCGGTCCACAGAAGCCGGGGGATAAACACTCCAAGCTCACTCTGCTCCTCCGGCCTCAGGTCTTCCTCTGCCGGGGTCTCCTATGGCAGAAGGTAACTGGAAGTGAGAGGTGAAGGTGGCCGGTACCCATGGAGGTCATCCTGGGAGCAGAAAGCATGGGGAGGGTGGAGAGTGGGCTTGGAGCAGAAAACAGAGAATGTCTGGTGCAGGACGGAGGACGCTTTGACACAACTCCCCTTTAACACGGACGCCTGCACAGGACTGCACTGCTAAATAAATAACAGCCCTCATGTACGTGGGCATGTGCAACA